CCCCAACACCACCTCCACCACAACAGAGAGCGCAGGCTGTCATGTGATCAGTAAACAGCACAAACAGCAGTTTTGGTTCATCTTGTTTTTTTCGGGCCATGTCAGGTGACACCAAACCAGTAATACGTACGTACACTACCATGACCTACAGGTTTGTCCTTCCTTTAGGGATCCTAAAACAAATCCTCGTTGGTAGACATGGGGAGTTTCTAGAAATCCTAGGGATCCCAGGCAAGAGCGACCATGAAGACCTTCCTGTTGGTCCATTATGAACCAATGTCAGCTGTCTCTCGGGGCCCCTTCCAGGTCGGGGGGCCCCTAGGCAGTTGCCTGAATGTCTGCCCCGTTGGAAGTTTGAACTAAAAATACTTTGTTACCAATGAACATTGAGGCTCATTAAGGGTGGAAAAGGTTGTTATTTTAAAGTAACTGTAGAGTCAGTACTAAGAAGGGTGCCACCTGCTGTTAATGCAGTGGAACTTTGCTGAGGACACCAAGGCTGCTAACACAACAGGTCTCAGAACCTGAGCAGAACCAGCAGCGGCGCTTGTTCTTTGTGAAAGCTCTGAATGTGACATTGCCGAGCAGAGACGCCTGTTCCATTTTACAGGCTCCACCAAATGCAGCCCACTTTTATTTCCACTGCTGCGAAGGATACGACAGGTGGAACCTTTGCATTCGAACGTATCCCAAAATTCATGACATGCCAGGAATAATCACTGGTGGAAGTCAAAGGCTGGAAAACTCGTCAGCGGCAGCAGCAACCTTTGAATGCCTACTCATCTGAGTGGCTAATTTTAATTAAAGTCAGCTATAAATGTTTTCACTTAAATGACATTAGTTTGATATTCACCAGTGCTGACTGCGACGGTCTGGGCTAATGCTGCCGGCAGGGACACAAACGGTGCCCTGTGTGTTAATGTCAACGACAAAATTGTCTTTAAATTGTTTACAAATTCAAACGAAGAGCTGGAGGAAAGCTGTTTATGAGTGAAATAAAGCAGCAAACAAAACCTTCAACTTTCCTGCACCTACGCCAATTGAGAGAACTAGCAATTTTACACCAGTTCCTGGAAGTCAGTGGTTCTCAAATGTACTTTGTTTGGTTTAGTGATATAAATGCTGCAGCAGCAGCTTCCGTGACCTGACAAGCTCAAGATGCTGATTCTGTCTGTGGCCACCGTCTGTGCTTCCACAGGAAACCACACTTTAATAAATCAGAGCTGACCTATGACTACGAGAGCAGACCTGGACAGTGAGCGCTCCCCCGCGCCAGGATTAGTCGTATCCACCAAAACCACATCAAGGCTGCAATTACTCTACACGCTAATGTTAAAGTATTTGTTGTGATTTTGGGTCGTGACTCAGTGGAACATTCCTGGACCTCGTAGCAGATGGAATGCTTGCACGCTCTTCACAAGTCTTGAGATCATTTGTGGTGTCACAAGCACCGGTCCAGAGCAGTTGAGGAGGATGCCGTGTTCCAGGCTCGGTGTTCTGTCCGTCCCCGCAGTGGACTTTGTCAGGATTTGATGCACCTGCAGTTGATGGTGCTGAAGATCAGCGACGGCTGAAGTGATGATCAGCACCTTTTACAGACACTTCATCCTCCATACGGCTGCGGCGATCACACACATTTTCTTTTCTTGTGTCGAAAAAACCTAAGGCACCATCTTGGTTTTCATCTGCTCGGATTTTTTGCCTTCTTCCCATCACTCTCATTCATTTGCATTCTGCCCTGCTGTCTGTGGATCCGTCTGAGTGGAACACAATTTTTCTGGCAGGAGGGCACCAAAGAGGATGCTGCTGCTGCTGCTGCTGCTGCTGTCAAAAAACGCTGCAAAAAAAGCCCATCTCCCCAAGACTCTTCTGTCATGACATGTCTGTCGGCTAATTTGTCTAGAAAACCAGTTTCCGATCAGAAGAGCTTCTCTGAAGTGTAGCAAACACATTTTCAAGGATGGCTTCAACAGATGTTGATTTTGGTCCAAATTAACCAATTTTATCTTTACTTCATCGACCAAAATATTTTAGAAATATTTCGATATATTTCTTCATTTGGTCAAAATGTACATGCAGATATTTCTGTCTGTTTCCTCATCCTCACACAGCTCCTCAGAGAATCCCTCTGACCAGTGAGACTCTGATGCTGATCAACATGTCTCGCAGAGATGGACATTTTTTTGCAGCGAGGACTCCCCCCCACCCCCCCGTCCTACCCACATCAGAGGGGAGTGAAAACAAGCCTCCCCCCGGTCATTGAGTTCGGCGTGAACGACGTTTCCTTTAAGACAAGGCTGTTAGAAGAGAGGGGGAGGAGTGGGGGTGTGGAGGGGTTGGGGGCTGAAACGTCCTGTAACCAAAGAGAAAAGAGACCCAGAGAGAGAGAGGGAGGGGAAGAGGGAGGGGGGGGGGGAGGGTGGGGGGGGGAGGGGGGGAGGAAGTGAAGGGGGGAAACCTGGCACCAAGATGGGCCGCAGCACTGGGCACTGGAGACAGTGAGCAGGGGAAGGTCAGCGAACCCTCCCTCCCCCCTTCCCTCCCTGACTTTCTCCCCTCTTCTCTTGGTTCTACTCCCCGCCCCTGTATCAGCACCAGGCCATCATCAATATCAGCAGAGCCAGACCACAGCTCCAGTGATAACAGGAAGATCTGAGATGAAGCAGGTCTTTGAAAGTCACCAGAACGGAGATCATTTCACATCTCAGATCAGTCGGTGCTGACAGAGATACAGGAGTGGTGAGGGAGGGGTGAGGCAGGGAGGGGGCTCACAACCATCAGTGACCGACCGCATGCCTGATCTAAACTAATAAGGTCATCTGTTGGTCTGAAAAGCAGCTTTGTTCCTCCTAATCCCAGAAGCATCTCCGTCGTCATCGTGGTCGGCATCGCAATCGCAGCCATCAGCGTCACATCAGTGACGCAATCCAGCGAGACGCCGCTCGCTGCACGTCTTTCCGCCGCGCCGGCATTTATCAGGAAGAGATAAGTCAGGTCACAGATTGAGGTCACAGACGTGCGGACACGTGTGGCAGCGGCCAGCGTGAAACGCCTTTGATGGGGCTAAAGTTTGATACGCCTCAGCGTCAGAGCAGCTGAGATCCAGTCTCCAGACTGTTCTCCAGCAGAATCTAACGAGGATGACTCTGCATCTTGTTTAGCACACGTGTCCCACAGCTTCAGTTGGTCCACATTGGTTTGACGCACGTATAAACTCATGGTCTGTACTGGTCTGTAACGCTGTCTCCACCCTTTTGTAATTAGTGGGGAATTTGGCGTGACGTGGTCAGACACTTTCTAAGAAACATGGGAACGTCCTAAGGGAACATGGGAATCAAACCAGCAAACAGGTCATCATCATCATCATCTTCCAATATGTGAGTCAGTAGAAACAGTTTCTGTTTTTAAACTGACACATGGGATAACCAGTCCTCCACCGTGTGGCGTCCTAGGTCATCATCTCTCTAAGATTCCAACAGTAGCCTGGGCATCGTGGCTGCAGCCTCCAGGCCTCTTAGTGGTGCCATAGTGTAACGATAGTCACTCCTGCCTTACACCCAGGAGGGCCTGGGTTCGAGCCCCAGAGGAACCACATGCCTAAAGGCGCCTCTTGTGGCAGCCTGTGTGGGTTGGATATCTACTGATTTCAGTTCACTAACAAAGGTCATGACCTCTGCTAACTGTCCTGTCAAACAGGTTCACTGCAGGTTTTTGAATCATCTGACCTCCGTTGACCCCGGCGACCTTTAAATCCAACCTTCTAGTTTAGGACCACACATACAGAAACATTCAGGCATGGATGTTTCCGGTTCCAGCCTGAGCTCTGGTGTGAAGCTTCACTCTGTCCCTGCTGCTGGAACCATTTTTTTCCCAGGAGGTGGGAGGTGGAACCGAGGGCAGTGCGAGAGGAACCAGCTCCTCAGTCCTTCTCCAGAGCGATGGCTACAAATATGAGTGAATGAAGTCATGTCTTCTTCTTCTTCCTTGTCAATCCCCCCGTGTCCTTTTTTTTTTTTTTTTGTCTTTTCCACTGCTTTTTTTCTCATCAGTCACTCGGTTCACAGAAGCATCGGATGTCATCTGCAGACAACCTGCTCGTTATTGACTGGAAACCAGAGCCAGTGACTGATTTAGTGCGAGACATAACAGTGACAATGTGCAGAAAAAGGAGCAGAGGCTCACACTTGTATGGAACAGGAACGCTTTGGTCATAAGCCACGTCCTACCGAGTACCGGGAACAATTTGTGTTTTCAACAAGAGCGCCACTAAAGTCAAGTCCTCATCAAATTTAGACAAATAATTCAAATAAAAAGACGAACTGAGAACTCCAGAGTCCTCAAGGTCCCAGTCCACAGTTGTCCTGTTCTACTTCAACTGGCGATGGCTTGATTGGATACACAGGATCGGTATTGAAAAAAAAAAATAGGCCGTCTGATCTGATGCTGAACTTAATCAACTTTGTGCAACTAGTCGTAAACCAGGACGCTATCTCCTCAGCGTGGGCGTCCTGGGTTATGCTGGAGGTATGGGATTGATATCGGCATTGGCAAAAATACTTCAAGTATCGGATATAAAAAAAAGTAGTATCAGAGTACCATCACTACCAGGTTTGATGACTGTGGTTTTTACCAAAACTGTGAGTCTGTGTACCCTCCGTCGCTGCCTTTGTTTAGTACTGTTTCAGTGTTACAATTTCTTAGATCCTTAATTCACATTGATCCTTTATTTATTTGGACTTTTTTTGTTTTATATAAAATGGACAGTTTTGTTTTTGAATATGACGGCTTGTGGCTTGACCAACTATGATAAATGTGTGATTGTCTCTGAGGTAGAAGGCCTGAGCGCCTCACGTGGTCTACGTTGGTCCAGCGGCTCCGTCCTACAGGTTTTAGCATCTGACCAGGTCATCGTGGATATAAATATGTGAGTCAGTCGAAACTGGACGTGAAGACCAGTTGAAGAGAAGGTACAACAGGCGAACGACACGCAGGAAGTCCTGGGCTCCTCTTACTGTACGGCGAGTGGTCAATCCACTCCTCCACCGCGGATGTCTGAGGCAGTGAAGATCAAGAAGCTTGTTTTACACGCCGCCTTTTAAACTTACAGCTCATGACAGGATCGAGCTGCTGTGGAACTTTAGAAGACTCCGACACGGCGGCTAATGAACCGCAGCCTGTTAGAGCCGGGTCTGGGGGACAGTCCCTGTCAAACTAACCACTGTTGCTGTGACACAGGAGCGCACACATTTTCACTTCACTTTTTAGCGGAACAGAAGTCCAATTGATACCGGCTCAGGCGATTTAAGAGCGGGCGCTGGGACTTTCATGTAGTTCCATGGGACCCTCAGAGGAACTTACTTGGTTTCTGGTACCGTGTCTAATCGGTTTAAGTTTATGTGTCGAAATTCTCCCAGTACTTTATACATTGAGGATTTTTATCTGGAAGTTTTGCTGTTAACCATACGGCCTGTGGGTCAAAATTGGCCCACTAGGAATTTCACTTTGGCCTGCTTGATGAAAATTGATAGTGAAAAAAATGCTTCATGTTGGTGATGTTTTGTCAAACCATGTTTTACTAAATAAGAATATTTTCTAATATACTTCTACTTATTTGGAGGAAGACAAAGGAGGAAACATGGGCCTATTGTTGTTTATATGTAATTACGATAGTACTGGTCATCGGGCTGTACGTGGAGCCTGAACCAAAAATGAGCTTGACGACCCCTGGCTTAATGGATCAAATTAATTAATTAATATTAGTGTAGTTCAGTCTCAAATCTCTTGCTAGAAGTTAAGGTCAGGTGAAGAACTAATGTTATTTGATGGCCTGCTAAGAAATTTAAAAAAATTAAATTATATATATATATATAGTATATATATGTATTATAAAAATATATACATGTTGACTTAGTAAAAAATGATTTATTCCACCTTTGATCACATCAGACTTTGTACAGTCGGGGCTGCTGAGGGTTTTTACGCTGTGCCAAATTACGCACGACACCACAGCGGACTACAGCTGGGTCTCCAGCTTTAAAATGACGCCTTACATATACAGAGCTGCTGCTGCTGCTGCTGCTGCTGCCTTTCCTAAGGTCGATCTGAAGTGAACAAGTCTCAGAGAGATCAAAATTCAATCCCGTTCTGAGGAGAGAGAGAGAGAGAGAGAGAGAGGGGAGGAAAAAGAGGAGGAGGGGGGTGCAGAGGAGGGGGGAGAGAAATGACGTTATTTGAACATGTGCCCAAAATCCTTAATGAATAACTTAGGACGAGTAGGAGGCAAATGCTGCCCCAGCTGTTTCCTGTTGAAAATGTCTGTGTAATGTAGATAAATGTGAGGGATTTTCTCTCTAAATCCGTCTCCTGTTCGCTAAATCTCACTTCTCCAAAACGAGCCTGCGCAATGGAACAAAGTGGGAATATTGAGATGTGACATTGCATCGCATCTCATCCTCTTTCTTTCCTCCTCGGCCCCGTTTTTTAATGACTTCAAACAAGTTCATTCTCGCCGGGCTTTTGACTTGCGGAGACCCGTGGCCGTGGGGATGTCCATCTCTGCTCCGTCCTTCCAGTGGCATTTCTGGGATGTTCTCAAGGTAACTTACCTGCCTTTTCATACGTTATCTCCCAGGCTGTTTGCAGACAGCATCCTTGTCTTATTAACCACAGAATTCGGCTGATTTTTGTTTTTATGCTAACTTTATTTCAATTTAATCTCTTAATCAATTTGCTGGTTTTATTTCATTTTAACTCGTTTGGGATGCACCACCGACGAGCATTTATCTCATGTTTTGTCCACTTTGCTCAGTGTGTGAGCAGCAGCTGCACATCCAGAGCGCGTGTGTTATTTTTAACCGGGAATAAAAACGGATTTTCTGCAAAGATTTGTTCTTAATTCTCTTTTTTTTCCCAAACATGTATTTTTTTTATTTTATTTGTCCAACCCTGGGATAAAGACGCATTTCCAACCCGTACCGTGCGATCTTATTAAAAAAAAAAATCAGTTTTGTGTTCGTGCAACTTTTCACATTAATTCTGCTGAGTCTGCATTATTAAAGGCTTAATGTTTAACCTGATGCTGCAGGACCGAGAGATGGAGAGATTAACACGGAACGCTTCTGTGCGCTGCCGCTGCACGGGTTCGTGATGCAGATGGATAATGTCCAGTGTTTACGCTCTTTATTATGTATATTTGGCGCGCGCTCTTTTTCTCTCCACTGGCTTTGGCGGGAGAGCCGTTTTCCATCTCACATTTTGGATTTGGAAAGATCCTCGTGGAGCTTTCTTACTTTTTTTTTTGCACTTTTCCAGTTTTAAGCACTTTACTTTTCGTGCGTAATGGCGCACAGGCAGCTGCTTTTGGCACAGGCAGGTGAAAATGCCGAGTCTTCTGCATGGATGGATGACTCAGCGGAGGGACCGTGTTTTATAAATGTCGCCCATCAGTGAGCCGCGGTGGTAACTTATCAGGTGTAAGGACTAGCAGCGGGAGGAGGGCTTAGGAAAAACACCGTCTTTTTGGTTTTTTCCAGTTTTTTCCCAAACCTTCCAGAATCTACTTCTGCTCCAGTTGCGCACAGGCGTCACGGACACGCTCTCTGCCCGCCGTTTGGGTCTGGCGTGAGCTGGAAGTTGAGATTTATACTTTCGTTCTGAACTTGTAAAAATATATGATATAAAAAATATATAACAACAAGAAGAGAAAGCCAGGGCCGTACATAGAGAATTTGAAGTCTTTGACATTTGCCCCAACGATGAAAAATACCTACCTTGAAATCATATGTGACCCACACTGTGTAGCCAAAATGAACCAATGTTGAACCACACGTGGACATGTTGGCTTAGTGCGGTCTGATATGATGAAGGTCGGTTGCTACCCACACTGGTTTTACCCATGTAGTCCACATACAACTGTATGGGGTTTACGAGGAACAGCTGGATACAGGAGTGCATGACACTGAACGTAAACTCCGCCATAGGAAAATAATATACACGACGATTGATGTAGCACATCCTGGTGGCGCTGTAATCTGAGTCACCTGCTGACGTCTGTGTACTGACATGTGGGCCACATTTACACTCAACAACCATTTTTTCTTCTGGGCCAGATTAAATCCAGCAGTTCTGACTCAATACCCTACGTGGGCCACAACTGCGCGCTAACTCGGGTCAACAACATGCTTTGATCAGCCATATTTACAGCAACGTGGGACACATAAACTGGGCAGCTCATAACCAGATCTGACCTACTAATAGTTAGCCCTTTTCAATGCCATACCCGTATTTGGTGCACTTGTGTGGCCTAACTAACCTGGTTGGTGGATGGTGGTCTTTGTAGCCCATTTTTGCTTGTCTCTGTCCTAGACTGTAGGATACATTAAGGGTCAATGTTGGCTATGACACATGATCCAATGGGTTTGTCGGCTACTTTTATGTGGAACCCATGTAACTATACCCCGACGTTACTCCCTAACGGTATGTGGCCTACTTAATTTTTCTGGGTCAAACCCACTTTTCTTTTAACTAAACTTAATGTTAACTATATAATCCCACACAGGTTCGTCTCCTAGACGTGAACTGTACACAGCCATGACAGTTTGAACCTACTCAATCTGTACTTTTATGTGGCCCACGTGTGTGGTACAGTACAACGAAGGCCGATGGATTTTCTGCATGTTTTGTGGAGCCACATCCGTGGGCCACACGATCTGGTCTGTTCAAAGCCATGTTCGGGCTAGTTGTAACTGTTGTTAAACCCACGTTTGGGCTGCATGTACACGCGGCGTCTAGTCTGGACCGGGGTCACTGGGGTCACTGGGTTCATGTCCTGCTGGTTTCAGTCTGACACCAGTCAGTGTAGACCTGACCGTGTCTTTTGGTCTGGGTCCAAATGGACGTTTTCAGTGTTTAGTCGACATTAATTAAACGGACGTCACGTTTGTAGACTGTAAATGTCTCTCTCTCTCTCTCCCTCTCTCTCTCTCTCCCCCTCTATAGAGTGCGATGTGCTGTATCTCCTGTAGCCACACCCTCTCACTACTGCTGTGCGTCCTCACCCTGACTCAGGCGGCAGCAGGGGCGGGCCCGGAGACCCTGTGCGGGGCGGAGCTGGTCGACACGCTGCAGTTTGTGTGTGGAGAGAGAGGCTTTTATTTCAGTAAGTGCACCAGCGTTTTTATTTATTCATAAAGGTTGGCTGCTCCTGTCCCAGAGCTCTCCACCTCTCGGTGAGTTCATAAATAAAAGAGCAGCCGCTCTGACATCTCGCCTCTCCTTCAACTTTCCCCCCCCTCCTGCTGTAATGTTTTTTTTTTTTTTCCTCTCCCTTCATTCATTCACTCTCGCCCTGTCTTCCAGTGCACATTCATCCACCTCACATAAATGGGCCTGGTCCCAGACTTTGACTAAGAAACTCACGTGGAATCACAGAATCCTGATAAGTGAGTGTTTTATTTGTGACAAATCACCGGCTTTTCTACGCAGGAGTGGGCTCTGAGTGGATCTAGGCCAAATATATCTGAAAGAAAAAAGAAGAAGAAGAAGAAGAAGGTTTTGCTGTGAAGTTTTTCCTCTTCTTTCCACTAGAAAAGAGAGCGCTTCCCAAAGAAAACGCTCCACTGTGAACCCAGGATTTAAATCTCAGATTTTCCATTAAGCCCCGAACAGCACAGGATATATGCACAGCAGGTTGGGTGCAGTGTTACAGCAGCTGACAGTGTTTCCCAGTGTGTGTGATTTTTTTTTTTTTTCTGTCAGAGATGAGCAGTGATACATCGGCTGCAGGTCTGACCCAAACACCACAGAGTCGAACTTTAAAACCTCATTATCCACATTTCTCTTGGCCGCCGTGGATCCATTAAGGTAGAGATACGACGCCGCCGGCACCAAGAAGTCCTTTTTTCTTCAAGCTTTTCCTGATAATCCATCATCCTTCTAAGTCCTGCGCAGTTTTGACATAACAGTCCATTATTGATGGTTTGATTCCGTCCCAAAGTTATGAAAGATTTTTCCACATGTGGTTGGTGCTGTCAGCTGCCAGTTTTCAGAAAGAAAAGGATATAAGATTTCGGCGCAACATCTTTAGTGCTTTTTCTGTTGCTCTTTTCCAGTCCCTGATTTCGACCCTGAGTCCGTGACTGTTTTTGAGTGCACCTCAGGAGACAGAGTGTACCTAGGGTTTCAGTCCAGGTCTCAGAACAGCAGTTGGAATAATTCGGTGTGAAATCATTCAAATTTAAAGTCGTAAACTCATCAACAGAAATGCATCTTAGAACGGGAAAAAAATCGTAAACTCATCAACAGAAATGCATCTCAGAACAGGAAAAAAAAGCAGATTTTTTTTTTTTTTTTTTTGCTGAATCATCCAGAGTCAGTGTGTTGTCTGACAGCAGGGTAATGATGCACCTTACTGCTGCTCCCCTTCTCTCCGTCTGCCAAATTCCTCCACCCGTGCATGCACCGTCCACATCACTCTGTGCATCCAGCCCTTTTGTGCGCCATTTGCCAGGGAACTCTTGGAGAACCACCAATCTCCTACGAAGCTGCGAGTCTTGTTCGTCCAGATGCTGCTGGCAGCGGGCGCACGCTGTGAAGTGGTCATGACAGCCTGTGTAACTGCCAGTTTTCTGCCAGTTAAGGCTTTTTGGTCTTTGGATTCTCTCGCTGCAGCACTCCTAGTACAAATGGCCGTGTTCTCTTCATTTAGGCTGAGCGACAGGCAAAGATTAAGGGCTACATGATCAGGTATTACATTCTGGTAAATGTTGGCCCCGGGTTTTTCTTGGAAAGTGGACTTGTACGTTGTCACTGATCAGACATCAGCTGCTGCTCCGCTTCTGGGTAGCTTCTGTGTGTGCAACCAGAGTTCCTTTTCAGTTATGTTAAGAACAGAGGGAAGAGTTCAGCAGAGTTTGGAGTTTTTCCTCCTGAAATCAATGTGGTCTCTGAGACCTGAAGCAAGGTTGACTCCAAGTTTGAAACCAAAGAAACATCTATTTATTTGTCCATAAATCATTTAAATGAACTGATTAATTCATATAAATAATAACAAATAATCACCTTTCCAAAAAACAATTGTCTATTGAGGGCTGGCCAATTACCAGTACCAGGACTGTTGTAGCTAATGTTAGCTCTGGTGTCTGTACCAGGACTGTGGTAGCTAATGTTAGCTCTGGTGTCTGTACCAGGGCTGTTGTAGCTAATGTTAGCTCTGGGGTCTGTACCAGGCCTGTTGTAGCTAATGTTAGCTCTGGTCTCTGTACCAGGACTGTTGTAGCTAATGTTAGCGCTGGTGTCTATTCTAGGAGTGTTGTAGCTAACGTTAGCTCTGGTGTCTGTACCAGGACTGTGGTAGCTAATGTTAGCTCTGGTCTCTGTACCAGGACTGTTGTAGCTAACGTTAGCTCTGGTGTCTGTACCAGGGCTGTTGTAGCTAATGTTAGCTCTGGTGTCTGTACCAGGGCTGTTGTAGCTAATGTTAGCTCTGCTGTCTGTACCCGGACTGTTGTAGCTAATGTTAGCGCTGGTGTCTATTCTAGGAGTGTTGTAGCTAACGTTAGCTCTGGTGTCTGTACCAGGGCTGTTGTAGCTAATGTTAGCTCTGGTGTCTGTACCAGGGCTGTTGTAGCTAATGTTAGCTCTGGTGTCTGTACCAGGGCTGTTGTAGCTAATGTTAGCTCTGGGGTCTGTACCAGGCCTGTTGTAGCTAATGTTAGCTCTGGTGTCTGTACCCGGACTGTTGTAGCTAATGTTAGCTCTGGGGTCTGTACCAGGCCTGTTGTAGCTAATGTTAGCTCTGCTGTCTGTACCCGGACTGTTGTAGCTAATGTTAGCTCTGCTGTCTGTACCAGGACTGTTGTAGCTAACATTAGCGCTGGTGTCTGTACCAGGACTCTTGTAGCTAACCTTAGCATTGGTGTCTGTACGAGAACTGCTGTAGCTAACGCTCTAGCTTTGGTTTTAGTACCAGAACTCTTGTTGCTATCATTAGCTGTGGTGTGTTTGGGGCTAATACCGTATAATCAACCATTCTTGGGGAATGTCCGCGGCTAATCAGTCTCTCCGGCCCATTCTGTTGCAGCCCCCTGTCGTTGAGAAACGGTTGATTATCTTAGCAACAGACTGGTTTGTGGTTTGCAGCTACAAGGTGTTGATACAGATAGGACAGTGTGAGGTTGTGTTGACTCCTGAAGTACGGCGCTAATGTCCTTATTTATCCTAGTAGAACATTTGAACACAGGCCAAAGTGAGTCGTGCTGGTCCTGATGCAAGATCCACTTCTTAAGCAGAAACAGAACCCCTTTGTGGCGGCGGCCGTGGGCTGTATTTGTCTTTCCTTGCATTACCCTACACGGAGCAGTCACTGAAGTGCACGGCGTCCATCTATCATTGCCACATTTTCCTGTGTTAAAAACCGAGCAGTATTTCATGGAGACTCCATCGTTTTTCTAAAGAGATGATGAGGTTTGAACAGCGGGGTGCTGTACCCTGGAAAACCTCCCGTTCCTTCTCTTCCCTCAGTCTTTTATTTTTACTATCATTCCCCGTTTTTTTCTCCTACTATGGCCGCCACATTCACCAGTGGTGGTTTGCACACAAAAAAAAAAAAAAAAAATCTGGAGAATCCATTTGAGATGTGTCATTTCTAGCAGTGGAATTCGCCTGGACAAACTGGAGGCATTCTCCTTTCCCTGAATCCATCCTCCTGTCTGGTCATGTTGAACAGGGCAACACTTTAATTGATAATGTGTGCAGAGACGCTGTTGCCACAACGCTGGCCTGTTAATGCGGAGAATGCTTCAACCTATCTGGCCAATCCACCTTACACACCCTGACAGAACTGCTAAATGCCAGGAGATGGAAATTCTTTCTGTTGGGGAAATACAACAAACTGCAGTCTTAGAAAATAAAAAAAAAATAAAAAAAGGAGCCCACAACCACAGTCAATTTTTCCAATTATTAGCCTGACCTAGAAATCCTTGGTTGTCTTTGTGAGGCTGTAGCATTCAGGTCTGTGTGGTGAATTCCTTGAAATGCTCATTTCACGAATTAGGTCTGGTATTGGAGTCGTTTTTGGCTGCAGTGGAAGTGCTAAGTAGCTCCATGTCCCAAGTCACTTCTACTTCACGGTAAAACATTCTCACTTATTTTAAAGTGAGCATGAAATATAAAATCATATGCTGATTTCTGCAAAAGATTGATGCCGAAATTCAAACCCAAAAGGAATTACAGCTCGATGGAATAACCCACTGGTTTTGGCCAAGACTTTACTGCAAGTACATGAGGTTCTTATAAAACAAAGGAACAGCGCAATGGGAAATTTGTTTGTGTTTAACTTTAAGAGTGAAGGGGGGGGGGGGGGGGGGTTCTTACCAAACACTGAGCTGGACAGTAGCAGAACGGGAATACGGCGTGTCACACACTTGACCACACACACACACACACACACACACACAACTGGGCCTTTTTCTCTTTAGCGTCAGGGGATTATTATGTGGATTACAGGATCAGGACGACCCCCTCC